TAGGCGTAGAGTTAATCCCGTCATCAGTCTCCTTCTCGGACATCGGGGCATTGGAGCTGAGCCCAGACCCCGCAGAGTGGATAGGAACGTCAATAGGGTCGTGATGAGCTGGGGGATTAGATCGCAGTCGGAGAGCAGCTTCACGTCTCTCGGGTGACTCAGAGCTCCTCTTTGTGGCTCGTGAGTCAGTGCCGGTTTGTCCCGACACATTATCAAATGATGATGATCCGCGAAGTTGAGCTTGATCTGGATTAGGCTGAGTAAGATCAAGCCGTTGAGCAACGTCACCATTGAGTGGCTTAGGGGAAAGTACTTTGGCAACGCGGCTCGGCGGGAGCGATGTAGTTCGTCTCTCTGGTGTGACCTCGGCCTCATCGATTACATCAAGGATCCCAGGAATGGTTTCATCATCTTCATTTCCTCTCCTGGGTGGCTGATGGAAGGGGATGTCGAGGAGGTCAAATGGAGTGGAGCCAATGCCAGGTGTATCCTGCTCGGATCCATCGCTGGTACGGTGGCTGGACTGCTCCTCGAGGTCGATGACGTCGGGGGCGGACTCTTTTCGAGTCTGACGCCGATTGAACGCCGCGAAGAGACCGGCATGGCTTCTTGACGAAGAGGAGGAAGGATTTGGGCCTGCTGTTTCGCGGCCCACATCCGATCGATTAGTACCTGATGTCCGATTTGGCGGATTTGAGCCCGCGTTGTAGCGGTTCGCATCCCGACCTCGGGTACCTGAGGAAAGCGGTGGATTCGGACCAGCGTTGTAGCGGTCCGCATTCCGGTCACGGGTACCTGACAGGTGAGATGATACTGCATCAGGGATGAAGTCCATATCCGCCGGACTGGGGTGATCGTGAATGATGTCAATGTCGGATGAACCTGAGACGGGAGGAGGGCCAGCTATTTGCGGCCAATCCTCAATCGCCCGTTTGCCCACCTCGGGTTGGGCCGAACCTGCAACATGAGAAGGGGAGAAATCTTCAATGGGGTCATTTTCTCCATCATGAGGAAAACCCTGAGTAGGCTCATGCGACGGCAAAACATCAAAGGATCTGTCAATTCGGGAAGGCTGAGACCTCCAATCAGCATCACAAAGGGATTGAAAATCCAGATTCCCAACCGAAACGGGGGCACCCGAGTTAAAGTCGAGCCGACCGAAATCAGGCGGTTTAGCCTGCGATCCACTGCCGAGGAGTTGGTCAAACTGATCCCATGTAAGGGACCATGATTGAGCCGTCTCCGGATGAGCAGCATGATGGATAGCCCGGTCCTCGATCTGGAGCGCCACGAACGGAACAGTAGGCGAAATCGATGAGGGCACCTGATTTGGAGGAACCTCAGCCTCTTCTAGAGGGGGTCCGTCCTCGATCTGGAGCACTGCCGCCGGGATAGGGGCCTCCGCATCCTCATCAAACACAACCTGAGAAAGGATCCAATCGTCCGTGATCACCCCGGGATTGGGCTCTGCGCCCACCATCGGGGGAATGGGCCACAGCCGGCTGTCTAAGCCGGAAGCAGCAGGCGCGGCGTTGCCGCGAAGGGCGTTGGCCTCGTCGTCCACGAAGCCCGGCCCACGATGAGAAGCTCCGGGGGACGCCATTGCTCGTACAAGTAGGCGATGGGAGCAGGTAGCGGGTCACGTCCCGCAACCGGATCACCAGCCCCAGCTTCTAGCTGGTACGGCTGATAACCTGCGGTTTTGGGCGGAAAGGGCGTTGCCCAGGGAATCAAAAGGGTTCACGTAATCCACGAAGAACCCAAAGAACCCGGACTCACGACTCAGTGGACTGAAGCCGGTGACCAGGTTGAAGGACGTGATGATTGAAGAAGAGGTGGTTGAAGTGAAGGTTAAACAGCAAGTTGCAAAAGATCACCTTAACCAGGCCCAGGCAAGTCCTGCCGCAGCACCACCTACCTCCTAGCACCAGCCCACCCCAGCGCCGAGAGTCCTTTCTCGGCGACGCAGCGAGATGCCGTGCTATGGCGAGTGCCGTGCTACCAAAACTAACCTGACGGGAGGTTAAACTTGAGCCAAACGGCCATTCGGCCGCTTTGCCACATGATGAAACAACACGTGAACAAAACACAATATAAATGCCAAAAAAGAAAACCAAAAAGAATAAGACAGGTTTAAGTGTTTCTTCAACAGATGAAGATAGCGTAGAAATTGTTAAAGAAACAGCAGTAATTGAGGTTGCTTGTCCTATGTGCAAAAAGATGTTAGAACTTAAAAATGAGTTAGAAATACAAAAGAAAGGAAATTGTAAATGTTCATGTATTCCAACAAGTTTCAAAATAAGTAAAAATGATAAGAAAATGAGTATTGATAAAACTAAAGACAGTATCAACTTAGAAACTGATGTCCATAATATAACTTTTAAATGGGGTAAGGATGCATCACTCTCGGATAATAATGAAAACGAAACGCAGGAAACTGTTAAACAAATGATGAAAAATTAGTATTTAAAGAGTAGATTTAACATAATTGCACTTTATAAATATATATAATTAAATAAATAAATAAATATCTAATTATTTATATAATCATAATGCCAACTATGAATGGACAAGACCATAGAATTATAACTTTTGACAATGAAGAAATTAAAGACCTATTCAATGGTGATAAAAACTTTGCTAGACAATTGAGTATAGAATATTTTTATTGGTTAGATGCTAAATTTAATGATAAATATTTTATGAAAGGTATAACTAAACCAGATAACTTTGGTAAAATATTGTTTTTTTTTGAAATTACAGGTGACGAGGAAGGTTTAATACAAATGAAAAATAAAATTGATGAAAGACTCTTAGAATATAATTTATTTACATATATAACATTAAATTATTCAGGTAAATTGTATAATTAAATAAATAATTATCTAAATAAATATATAGTAATGTCTGAAAATGAGAATTATACTATTAATGATTTAATGAAGAAGATAACATTAATTGGTAAAAATATCAAAACCTTAAATGATATGATTAAATCCATTGATGACAAAATGAAACCAGTTGAACGCAATGAAGATAAAGAAAACATCGAAAAGATATTTCAAGCAAAATCTATAGGAAGACCAACGGGTGATTATCCTACAAAGCAAAAGAAATACTGTGATATGTTGAATACAGGAAAAATCAAACAACCAAAGCAACAAACATTAGAATTTTACAAAATTTCAAAAAATGATGATGGAGTATATGTATTATTTGAATAATTCATATCTAAGTAATTCTAACAATATGAATTTATTAGAATTATTTAGTGGAACAAAAAGCGTTGGAACCATAGCAAAGTCGCTTGGATTTAATGTGATATCATTAGACTTGAAAAATGCTGATATCAACACTGATATTTTGGAGTGGGATTACAAACAGTTTCACAGAAACCATTTTGATTTTATTTGGAGTAGTCCCCCATGCACTGAATACAGCATAGCAAAAACTAGGGGAATTAGGAATATCGAATATGCAAATAGTATTGTCTTAAAAACTATCGAGATTATCAAATATTTTAATCCTAAATATTTTGTAATCGAAAATCCACAAACTGGATTATTAAAAAGTCAGGAGTTTATGGATGAGTTTGGTTTTAAAGATGTAGATTATTGTAAATATGGATTTAATTATAGAAAGAGGACTAGGCTATGGAATAACATTACAACTTGGAAACCTAGAGAATTATGTAAAAAGGATTGTGGCAACATCAGGAATAATAAACATATTGAAACCGCACAACGGCTTCCATCGGGCACCAAGGAAAAATGGGGTGACAATCCAATAATACATAAACAGGAAGATTTATACAAAATACCTAGCGAATTAATTTGTGAAATCTTGGTGAGTTTGAATTAGGGGGGAAGGGGCTTCCCCTTTTTGGGGGAAGGGCTTCCCCTTTTTGGGGGAAGGGCTTCCCCCTTTTTGGGGGAAAGGGGGAAGGGTTTCCCCTTTTTGGGGGAAAGGGTTTCATCACATGCTCACACAATGAGTAAAACCATACTATGATTATAACATTTATACCCTTATATGTTATAATTATAATGTAAAATGACTTAAAGGAATAAATACTTAATATAATAAGAGGAAAATGCCAATGCTAGGAGTGACAGAAAAAGAGCTGGAACAGGATAGAAAGATAATATTGAGTTTCATTAAGGATAATCCCTATCCATCGTATAAACAAGTCATTGAAATAATTAAAAACGATAAAACAATGAAAGATATATATCCAGATATGTTCGCTGAGTATGGAGAACAAAATCATCAATGGATAAAAGAGATTTACGAAAACATAATGAAAGAAGAACTCGTTAAACGTAATGGTAGTAGTATTAATGAAAGAGGAGGAATGACAACAATGCATTGTAATTATTATACTTTGGTATCAGTGTTGCGTTATTTAATACAACAAAGAGCACCGATGAAAGATTATGATGTTAACTTAATCTGGTATAATATCAGAAACATCTTGAGCAGTTCTTGGAACAACATAGGAGACTGGAAACACTAAAAACAGGTTTAATCATACTATGATTATCACATGTAAACTATTATATGTTATAATTGTATTTTTTTTATCGTTTGTAAAGATTGACTTATTATATATTCCTAATTTGCTTATCTCTTTCAAAGTGCGTTGTTTAGACTTGGCATGCTTCTTCAATTTTTTCGTGCTTTGGCTGTTTGTTTTTGTTTTGTTTGATACTCTTGTGATATTTTTTGTTGGTATGTTGCTTTGTTTTTTGTTGATGTGTGTTTTTGAGTTTGGGTTCTTTGATGATTTAGAGTGTTGCTGTTTTGTTGGTATGCTTGTTTGAATTATTTAATGTTGCATGCTGTGATTAAATATTTTTGTTGGTGGTTGTGATTATTTATTTTGTTTGCTTGTTGTTCTGGATTTTGTTTTCTGTTTGTTGTGTTGCTGTTGGAGAAAAAATAGTAGAAAGAATAATTCTTTGAATTCTCCTTTTACTATTTTCCCCCCCCCCCCCCCGTCAGGCTCGTCCTTCCACCGTGACCAGCACTTTCCGCAACACCGCCAGGCTTGGCAGCGAATCCTAGGCTATCTGGCGCCTAACATGAAATACTGTCCCTTCTCACCGTGTCCCTACCGGCAAAACCAAACATCTTCTTGCACATATTGAAGGAGCAACGCATCTTGGACAGCGAAAGCAACAGGAAACATTTGGAAAACAGGACAAAGAAAATGGGCGATTGACATTAGTACTCTTTCGGGAATTGCTGGGCGATGCTCATGTTGCCGGCAATTGGGGCCACAAAACGGAAATGGCAGGTTCTTCAAGGGTTGACCTTTGATCTGTACACAACACTTTTGGCGAACACCCCAAAGAAACATCTGACAGTATATTGTTTGGGTTCCGGCGCATCCTTCACGAAATCAGCCATCAAAGCCTCAACAACGAGCCTAAGTGTCAAAGTCGTGTCCCTTTTGAAACTTTCTTTCTGAGAGGGTTCGCCAAAAATGGTCAACGCTTCTTGTATGCCACTCAAATAGTCTTCCGAACAAAGCAGACAGTATAAAGTCCAGGCACTCGTAAGTAAGAAAACCTCACAAATGGGAAGCCCAGACAGTTTCTTCGAACTGGGCTTGCCACCTCCCCATTGTCCAGTGCCTGCCGTACCTGACGTTGGCGGCAAAAGGGCAGGCGGGGTCCTAATAAAATTCGATCATCTCAAAAGTTCTGGGGCGGGACATGCCAGCTTGAGTTCTGCTAAAGCCCCCTCCACAGAAGAAAGGGATAGTAAAAGCCGGCTCGCAGAAAATCGATTGGGATCATCCCCAGTCGGGGGGGGGGGGGTTGGGGTTCATTGGAACCAAACCTCACCCACAAGAAATCCATACCTCCCCAAAGCGCAAAAGTCGGCAAAAACAGTAATACTGTGCATGGCTCATTTCTCGCACCTGTATTGTGTTGAGGGCACGCTTTTTGGGCTGGTAATAAAGAGAGAAACCGAAAGGCAAACCGGCATTTTGAGGGTCGCTTGTTCATAGCTACATGAGAGTTGTTCATAAACGGGTCGAATGATCTGCTTTTCCCTTTCAGACGGGTAAGGGGTCTAGCAAAAAAGCATCCCCACATTCCACACTCCTCACAGCATTGGACTAAGTTCCTTGTCACCTGTGGAGCTTGCCCTACAGGCAAATTCAAGCAGCCCAGACAGTGATGTTGAAGCCAACATCAAAGGTGATACATGCAAAACAAAAACACATTCTCCGCGCGAAGACCCCCCCCCCCCCGTTTTTCCGTGAGCCTCTTGCAGCAAAGCATCGCCGTCCACATCCTTCGGTCGCCGTATGCGAAATGGCTCTAAACCCATGTTAAGCTAAAATCTAAGCCGAGAAACCCCCCAAAAAAAAGGTGGAATCACATAATGTATGTGGCTCTGTGAAAATCAAATATGAGTGACACATCCCCTTCTGCTTTCCTTTGGGGAAATGAAACCGTACAAGCCACCAACGAAGCTACGAGTAACACAAACAAGCCACAAGAAGGAATGGGCAAGGGCAGGGATTCTGTTTTTTTCTGCATTTCACATGTTCTTCCCCTGTAGGATATGTTTCAGTCTCTTTTAGAACTGTTTTAATAGTCTACAGGGGTGGACCCACGAAAAGCCATATCCAAACCGTTTCTAGAGGGGTGCGGGACCAAATTGAGATCCTAGTTACGGCCCTAAATAGTGAATTATTCCTACAGGATAACCATCCCTCGATGTGTTTCAAACATATAGATATAACAATATACTTGTAAGTGGCGCATATCAACGGGCAACACCTGGTATAATCCCCTACATGCGATGCATAGATACTTGAAGCATGCATGCATAATTGCACGACAGTAATGTACTCCAAACGCCATTTCCAGTCACCAAATAGATCAGAATGGAAATGCGATACTTCAAGAGAGGACCTCCATCATCCCCAAGCCGTGGTTTACATCTAGAATGAGCACAAGCCATGGTTTTCCTCTGTGTTCTCTCTTTCGGGACCACTACGAGCAGGAACGGGGGTCAGTGCAGAGACCAGTTCCAAGACAGCCACAAACATTGCAGGGCACCTGACAGGGGGCCCCTTCAAGAGGAAATCAGCTTCCGGGTATCCCACAACACATGCTATGCTAGCGAAAGGGTAGTTAGTTGGTTTCTTTGACCATTTTGACACAGTCTGATCCGTAGCCAGCGCGAAACCAATGAGTGAACAAACCTGGCCAATGCAACTGCAACTGCCTCCCAAAACGTCGCTCACCATGATCGGGCTCCCCTACTTGTTTTGGGGGGGAAGGGACACCCCGCAGCGCCCGAGCCGCATTCGCCGAGCCGAATTCCGTCCTTCAAATCCCATCCCTGCGCGGTGACGATGGTGAGAGCTGTGTCCAAGATCTGGCGAGATTGGAAGCCAATTGCCCAACCCAGATGCCTGTTAACCTTCTCGCCAGTCATTTGCCTTTCAGCTTTGAAATGGTGGCTCCCTTGGACACAGGTGCGTCGTTCCTGGTGTCACTGGCCAAAGCGCCACTCAAGAGGCACGACCATGTCCCGGCGAAAAGAAAACTGCCCAAAGGACCTGCCTGGAGTCAACATGACCCTTAAAAAAATGGGGTCATGACCCAAAATGGGGGGGCATGGACCCATTTGTAAAGGGTCAGAAGGAGACTCCAGGTGGATACGAGGCGTTTGGGGACTTGCCAAAAACTGTCCAAATGGCCTGGACAAAGGTTAAGTCACAGCATGGCTGTGGATTTTAATGGGACCCTTGGGACCCTTGGGTGGACGTCATTCAGGTTGGGTTCATGTCCACCAACCACTTTGGAGGTGGCAAGTCGTAAAAAACATATACCCGAATAACTCCTAAAAGTCATACCAGAAGAACAAAGATACAGGGATATAAGGTTGCACATTCCCTTTCACTGACGCATCTGGCTGAACCTCCCTGCAAGACCAGACTTCCTCAGCACCCAAGGGCAACCCAATCTTTAGGGGCTCAGCCTATGAGGTAAATCTCGCATGGCGCTCGCTGCCTGCCGTTGCAGCTTTTCCGGCAGCAAACGCCACTTGCCATCCACCTCCACATACCTCGGGCTGAGACTGGCACAACGCCACTTGAGCAAAGCCCCTGCACAAAGTACAATCATTCACCACTCCACATGCTCGTTTTCCTCAGGGGTCCAAAAAATTGTCCTCTCAAGCTGGACCTGTTGACCTATGATTTCATGGGACCCAGCAGTCCCTGACTCACCCCTTCCATCTGGAAGGTTTCAGGGGAGGGCGACTGCCTGTGGGCTCCTATACTAAAGTATCATCTCCCAGGCATAACCCCCCCCGGAAAGGAAGCCCCATCGGGATTCATATCAGAAAGGGTGCGGTGGCATGGTCCTCCGCACAGATGTGCGTGTGTGCCTCTGCATCTTGCAAGTTCCGTAACCGTGGCTTCAATTTCAAGGGGTGCAAACATTTGAACGCTGGTCCCAGGAGCATCCCCAGCCCCAAAATCTCCCTGCCTGCCGGGGGACTCTCCTAGCTGCCGGGGGGCCACTCCAAACCCAGCGCATGGACCCCAAGTGCTGAACAGCGAAAGTCTGGAAGCTCCACTTTGACAATGCTTGAATGGCAACAATTTCCCTTGGTGCCCAATCGGGTTTCCGGATGTTCCCCAAGGTTCTCTTTGGTCCGAGGGTTCGAGCAAAAGCAATACCCAAACGCTTGGCGGAAACCAAAGAGCAACGGCCTCAAACCAAACAGAAATACGCGTAGCCACTCTACTAATTGTGGGTTCTATCAACTCCCCTAGTCCACCACGAGCCTTATTTGAAAGGTCTCCTACCCATTCAGACATGACCGAAGTGAAATCCCCCGCACTCTCTGGGAGGGTCTTTCTCCAGGGAGTGTAAAATATGGACCCTGCGTGTCTGTTCTGGAAAGAACTTTCTGCCACCATCCGAGATGGAAGCCAAACTAAAACCAGTTCGGATCCATCAAATTTATTGCTGGTGATCAGCAGGGAATGACCATTGCCAGACTTAAACCAGAAAGTACAATTTACGTGTGCGAGCTCCTGTGGGGCCGTATCGCCTTCTGAGAGGGTGGGGATCGCAAAACCACACATCTTGCGACTAAATCAGCATGTTTCCCCTCACATAAAAAACACTATGATTGATTCTGGGCTATATATTTAGTGAGCCTTGAACTGCCATTTTTGGGCATTGCTGAAACACACGCAGCCAAGCCTAAAATTATCCCCCCCCCCCCCGCCACCTCCCAACATCCGCAACCCATGACTAGGTCCCCAACGGCCCGTCACGCAGTAGCTCAACCAGCTCTTTAGAGGAGCTGGCCACCGCTTTCCTGGCGACCAGCCCGTCCCCATGCTTACCTCCAGTTGCTCCAAGTCCCCCGGCAAAAATCAAGATACTTACCAGAGATAGACTACCCTTGAAACCAAACGGGAGAAGTAAAACATATTCTTAACCTAAATGGAAGTTGTTCACGCTTCTTTTCAGGGCCGAACAGGGAATGAGGTACCCCCCCGAATTGGATCATCCCTTGTGGTCAGACTTCCTTGAACACTTGCCAACTCCAAGAAAATAATACAGACCCATGCAAAGGTCACTGGACCTCCCATTCAAAAGTCGCAGTTTACTAGACGGTTCCAACACAATTGCCACTGTGGGAGGTCCAAAAAGGGAAATTGATAGACCCTTGCCACATTTAGACCCTGCCCTTGACACCTTCCCGTGCAATGTGCATAAACGACTGGAAATAATCTGAGAAAATTTGAAGGTCGATCTGCATGCAACTTGAGGGTTCTCGGGTTTGGGGGCGTCATTATCGTTCTACAGGTTTTCGTGCAGTTCGGACATGCAATTCAACCCCTCTTGACAACGTAGTCTTCGTAGGCTTTGACCGTGGATCATATGTTTCAAGAACGCGTTCAAACGGTTTAAGCGATAGCCGTGGTTTGCCCGTTTTACTCGCCCGCGAGGAAACATCGGGGGCTGTCGCAAACCCCGAATGTGCGTGCTTGTTTGGCTGCTTCCCGAGCCCCGCAAAACCAAGGGCGGGCCAAAGGAAACCAAGAGGCCACTGATCCAAGGTGAGATCCAGCTCTCAAGCCCTACCTGCCATGAAGGTGGCTTAGATAAATCGGTTCCAGGAAACCAAGGGCTCTCACTTGGCTAACTAAGGTTGCACACAAGTTGCCATAAAAGCCAAGAAGCCTTTTGGGTCAAGTTCATGTCATACTCGCTGTGGGCAACCAGAATCGCGTGTCAAACAAACAAACACCAACAAGCTTGCACATGAAACTTGAATGGCTGTCTATCAGCTTTGTGGCATTCGGCGAATGTCGCTTTCTGTGTGCTCACTCTTCAAAGCGGAAGGCAACGCATGGGGATTTGACCCCCCTTCTAAGCCCCTCCCCTTTCCTCGTTCATAAGGTGTCAGGGTCTGATTTTGGCTTTGAGCCCTGCGACGTCTTCCTTAAGGCGTCCTGGCTTGACATTGGACATCAGAGTTTCCCCTGGCCCGGAACATCCCAGATACTACAGCAGAAAAGCAGCCATAGTGGTTTGGCTCCCTTGGGTGCCTATACAGGAAAGTGAAATGTATGGGAACCATAATGGCTTGCCCAAGCACCGAGTCTAATCTTTGAGCTGGTGCGGCCCTCTAATCGGTTGTGGATAAAAGTCTACTAATTCTGTCCGAAACCGGCCACCCAAGCGGGCCCGAAATGTATCAAAACCCTTGCATACAGGTGTGGTTTTTCTGAGTTGACAGGGACACCCAAAGCGAAATCCACCATATTGGGGTTGATCAACCCATTGAAGAGGCGCCTCCATTATTTGGAGCCCTGCTTTGTGGCCCTGAAAGAAAAGGGGAAGACTTCGGGGGTAATCACTTTTAGTGAAAAACCACCCCAAACAAAAACGGGGTTCTGCTAGTAAAGGGAAGTCTTTTTGGGGGTTTGCAGGTTTAATGAAGAACACCCCAGACAAAAACAGAGAACCACTTGGTGCCACCGGGCAACCGAGGGAGCTTTGAAAGCTCAGCGGACGAGTTCAGCAGCGAAGCTGCCCAATCTGTGGCTCCCCGCTGCAGTGTGAGGAAGTCGTAGAAGGTTGGGGTCCCAAGCACCTGCTAAGTACTCTGCAAGGCGGATCATTTGAGGTGAACATGTTGGGCTCTCTTTGCAAAATGTCGCTTGAACGAACCCTGCATGGTGATTCCAATAGTTGCCAGTCATTCTCTAGCCGTACTTCCCCATTCCTTCCAGGGATCATTGTTACAAGGAACTTGCCAAACATCTGCATCATTTCCAGCAGCCTCTCAAACTAAGCATGGGTAAGCACAATGGGGAAACAACTTGTACATACATGATTGTTCAAGCAGGCAGGAGGTTGTAGCGCATTTGCCAGTTGTGATTGCCGGTTCCAACCAAGCGGTATACGTAAGCAGAAGTCACAAACCGGAATGCGGAATGCCCCCAAAGGGACCCTAAGGGGCTGGCTGCTTTACCTCGTTTTGCGCTCGTTATAATGTTGGGCCACCTGGTTGGGATCCGAACCCGCTCATTAGAACCTGTTTGCTGGCTGGTTCTCAAGGAGTGGGAAAATCGGCCCTGTGGATGGACCAAATCCTGCACCAGCTGGTAGGTGGGTTTAGCCCGTTATTCATAAGATTTAGTTTCATCTATCCCAAGTGGTGCGAAATAAATTTCGTCCACCCAAGTTTCCTTCCTTGATCCAGTTCATCCCCAAAGGCCCGTCGAAGGCTCGTCATGAGGCCAGCTCTCGAAGCCTTCCGGGCCTGAAAGTAATGGGCCAGCATTTTGGCGCTTCACCTAATTCAACGCATATCCAAAAATAGTTTCCAATATCCAGTTGACAGCATCCAGCGCCCTGGGGACAATTAGAAGGATTCACCAACCCAAAATGTTCGGTTCCTCATCAAAGAAACCTGTATCAGAAAGGCAAAGGCCTTTCATTTGCCAAGTTTTCAGGCATATGGGGATCCCGCAAGGGGGGCTTAAAGGACTAGTTCCAGCAGACTGGCGCAACATGGGACTTTCTCTCTGGCGGGCAGCGGGCGGGATCCAATGCTGCTGAGCAAGGTCGAGCTGACAAGCCCTGCCTGCCAACTTGAATCAACGCTTCCCACTGATCCGCTGAACTATGAACAAAGCCAACACAAGCAGGCAAAGCAATGCCACTGCTTGAAAATGGACAACAAAGACCCGAGCTAAGATTAGAACAACAGCGTTCGAGAATCCAAAGATCCGAACTTCCCATCCGCACCCTCATTTGGTTCAGCCCCTCATGTAAAATGCTTTGGCCGCTAATGGTGTTCTTCGTCGAACAAGGACCTTCAAGCTAGCCATCAGGAAATAGTCAGTAGCCAAGGAGACCATATACATGGCATGTGATCTTATTTGATTTGAACATGATGCCTGGGCCTGGTTTCTCAAACAAGATTTGCAACCCGCAAACCTTGGTTGAACCAAGCCCTTAGTTATCATGTTGGTTCTCCATCAAACGGGACCAGGCCTGTTTCTTGCTATTGAACATCCTTTGGGACGAGGTGCCGAATGGGACCAGGGTCTGATTGGCTGACCCAACCTTGCCCGTTTTTCTTGGTCGAACTCCGGGCGTTTTTTTGAGAATCCTGGTACCTGGAGTCTCCTTCTGACCCTTCAAAAATGGGCCCATGACCCCAATTATGTTGGGTCATGACCAACCATTTTTGAAGGGTCATGGAGACTCCCAATAGACGTGGGCAGGCAAAGAAAATTGTCAAGCAAAAGTGAGGGAATGGTGCTATCCACTTCCACCCAGGCGTGCTTTGAAGAAGCATCCAACGATATCCCCCTTCAGCGGGCACCGATCCCAAGTCGCCTGGCCCAAGGCGCTGGGTCGCAGCAGCTCCCGCACCTCACACGAAGCTTCGGGCCATCCCAGCCACGCCTTCCGTTAAGACAGCGGGAACCTCTGCCCAGCTTTCCTGGGGCATCCCCGGATCCACCCAGGAACCCGAAGAAAAGCCACCTGCACGAATGAAAAACTTCCAGCTTGGGAGATCTTGGGTGTTTGCGAGAATGAGGAAACCCGTCTAAAAGCAGCTTTTCAAGCTTGGCAAAAGGTGAGGCCCAGGAAGGCACTCGCCGTAAAAGATCTGCCTTGTGGCCCAAAGGAATGTAGCTCCCCGTACCTGCAATGTGTCCTGGGCCAGAGGTTCCCTGAAAAAATGTTCGCAGAAATCTGGGATCGCACTTCAACTTAGAAATCAAAAGGTGATGTTAGACCACCGGCACGCACCCCCAACCCCCGCCCCGCGCCAAACAAAACTACTTCTAGAGTCTGGATGAGTTATAACGATTCTAACACAATGCACCAACCAAAAACCAGAGCACCCCTCTTGAAAACAAAATCTTGCCGGGGCCTGCGAGTGCAAACCAACACCCTTCTTATGAATGATCAACTCTGCCCTGAGCTGCCCCTGAAGACCATATTCCTTTTGGTCATGGAACCTGACTGAGGGGTCCTGAAGACCATTTTCCTTCAAACTGCACCATCTGGGTGGGTTCCACGTAAGTGGCACCGGGTACCCGGATCGCGATCCGCGCCTTGGAGGCATCCGGCTTCTCGGGCTTCAGGATCAGCTGACCCCGGCACTGGGCGAAAACGGTGCACCTGCCCGGGCACAATGAAAACAGATCCGCCATGCTACCAAAATCCAGAAATGTCTCCTTCACTGGCTTCTACACCTTCTTTTGATTCACCCTAGTTGGTGATTTGGTGGTTCTCCACGTGCAGCTTTCTCCGCTGCCTTCCGCCAACCGACCCCCCTCTGCCGCGTCGGCACGTCTTTGCCTGCGTTGCGCTGCGCCCTTAACGCGAAGCTGCGAGAAGATGTCGGGCTGTGTCCTGCAGGCGTCGTGCAGCTCTCGCAGAAGTAGCGGCGTGCCCCAGCGCCTCTTCAACTTCATTCGGCTTCGCGTGCGGTTGCGCAAGTCCTTGAGGGCAACTCTCCGGTCCACGCCAGCTTGGGCACGCAAGCTCGGCTCCAAGGTTTTGGCAGCAAAGCTTTCCCTTCTCTTTTGTCTTCCTCTCTGCGAGGCCTCGCAAAGCCAAAAGCATGGGTCGGCAGGTCCTCCAGCTCCAGAGCTACGGAGCACCCAGGTGAGGGTGAGGTGAGGCGAGCGGCGAGGAGGCAAGGTGAGGCGAAGCGAGTGAGGTGACTGCATGGCTTTCAGGCATTTTCTTACGGCTGGGAACTGAAAGAAGGTAAACTCTCGCTGTATCTTTAATAATTACAAGTGCTAAGCATGCGTACCACATTCAAGCATTCAGGAACCAGCGCGGCTGTAAATCTAGTTGACAAAGCTTTGGATGCCCAGGGCCACGGAATGGCCATCTGGGTCTGCGGCCATCGGCGCGTTCCACGGGGAGGAAGGGTCCGGCACACGCAAGCCAAGGCGGCGTGGACTTTCCTTGCAGCCGCCGTGGTTCAAATGCGCCCCACATGGCGACATGAGGCAACGCGGACTCCTTGCAAACGACAAAGCCTGCAGTGAGCGATTAAGCCAATTGTCAAATCTGTTTGCAAGCTCACTCGCAGTTTTTGGACGAGCTAAACCTGGCCCGAAGCAATGTAAGGTACATCTACAACAGTTTGGGCCTCAATACGCCGTGGGTGGGAACGAAAGCAACTTCCACTTCGGTGAATCATGCTGCATCTGTCTCAAAATTAGAGACCCCTGTTGAGACGATGTCAAAAGACAACCCAACAAGCTCTGTTCATCCATCGTCCTTCTGCGAAACTGTCCAAATTCCCTGGGGACTTTCCAAATGAAAAGATCCACATATAGGTGACGTTAAAACGCTAAGTGTCATTTCGACCAAACACACATTGGACATATTTCTTCCCGACTTGAACTTTACGAAACGAGATAACGGCCGGCGGAAAAAACAAAAGAAGAAAAACAAACGCTTGGCACCTTCCCGCCACATTTGCGCCGTTGGCGCCTGAGCGGAACTGCAGGTGTGAGGATTGCCTTTTTCAGCGAACAACAAGGGGTGCCAAAGGGACACATGCCATTTGATTTGGGGTCACCCTATGTTTGACACAAACACGGTTGTACCTTCCAACCCAAATGGATTCTCTAGATGCAAGTAAGTTCCCAGTAGCTTCAGGTGATGCGGGTTGGGATTGTCTAGGGAGGTGTAACACAACTCATCCACGGGCCAAGGGCATAACAAACGTCCATTGAATTGCGGCAAAAAGTACATTCTGGCCTGGGGGCAGGATAGCAATGTTTCTCCTCCATCCAAGAAACCAGCTAAAAGGCAAACTCTGCAGGAAATCCATGGGTATTTGACAAATGTCTGTAGAAATTCCTGCTGGTTTTGATGGCTCTAGTCTTGCAATTCACCCTGTCAACCTAGGAAACTACCCGGTCCAAAATTAAACACATGCAACCCACAAAACAGGCTTCCCCAAAAACGACGTCCTCTAGAAGTGATGTGGTTGGGAATCCAGTTAATGCATCTGCAGAGTCACTGGACGTACAAGGTGTGCAACAGCAAAGGGCGGACAACCCATGCGTGTTCTTTTTTGGGGGTACCCCTTTTCACCTTGGCTGAAAGGGACACCAAACGGAACAATGACATTTTGGGAGGCCTCCCTATGGCACGTGAACACATTGGAAGCAGCAGCTGCGGGTTCCTGAGCTTCCTAGAGTCGGGTAACCCTGAATCACCCCTATATGGTTGCAAGAAAGAATTCGGGTTCTACATTCTGAACACATTTCGCCTTGCCCGATGGCTGACTTCCCCCTGGGCACATGTGGTGTTTAATGGTCGGACCGCCCTGAAAGGTGTTGAAAAACCCACTTCAACTTGCCCTGACAAATGGCATCGCAAGCTTAAAGGGTTGGACCACCTCAAACTGAGCCCCCCCCTCCGCGCCAAACATCCCCAACCTGAGGGTCGCAAAGAAAAGATCCAATGCATTTTCTCCTGGTATGTCAAAATGGGCCGCTGTTTCGCTTTGGTTGATAGTACCTAAGGTCAAAAGGTCGGCTTTGGGCAACTGAGTAGATGATCGTTTTGGATCCTGTTTTACAGGAACCGCAAAATGGCAGCTGGTCCCCCTGAAAGGGCGTGACATTTGATCCCTGAAATAAATCCAAGTCCTAAAGTACACGGGGGGCAAATGTAGATGGCGCACCCGCAATGCGCACATGCTCCTTGTGTGGGTCAGGTTTATTCTTCCATCAGCAGGAACTCCAAATTCCCTATCGTCAGCCTCCATTTGCTGAAGTCCCCTTGAGAAAAATACAAAATACTTCCAACAGTGATAGGTTCCCGTTATAACCAACAGAACCAAACTACAAACATATTCCTAAGCAAATGAAGTCAGAAGAGTCCCACCTCTCTCCCCAAACGCTTTGCTGTCACCTCTCCGGGACCTCCAACTCGCAACTTGCATGGAGCATTCAAACGCCCCAGACATTCGGAGACTTGCCTAAGAGCTTGCCGTTGGCCACAAGAGCGAAAGCAGGGATAAGTTGATGAACCGACTGTCCAACCCTTGGTTTGGAAGCAAAGAACTATCTTTGTTGCAGCCCCCTAAACCCCAAAACCTAAAACACATGCCAACAACAGTGAAGCAAATGCATCTTGGACAATTGACCGAACTGGAAAACACGCTCTCGACATCTCATGTCCTACACTTCTGCTGAGAGCTAAACAAAAATACTGGTCACATGAGTACGCACTATTCAACAAGCTTACTTGTGAGCTGCACAATCATTGCCAACTCAGCTCTCCAACAATTATTAAAACGGGTATATAGCTCTCCAAGTTTGCACCACGGCTCGCGTTTTCGCCACGAGAGCAATTGTGTTTCTGAAAATAGGGCTTCCTTTTTGGATGGCTTAACGGGAAGCCAACAGGAGACCAACCGCTCGAAGAAACGGGTGTGTCCGTTTTCGGGAACCCTCTGGCTTTGGGCATTTGTCTTGACTTTTTGAGTCATTTTATTTGGGTATTTCCTCCAAGCTTACTTCCTCGAGAATCTTGCGTGAAAACACGTGTCAACCGGTCGACAAATATAGTTGTACTTCACATGCCCTGATGAATGCGAAGCTCCTTTCAAACTTATGACACAACAAGAGACGTGTACACAACCCTGAGTCGCACCAGACATCGGCTGGAGCTGAATGTCGCCAACAGCATGCTGTACAGAGCGAATTATGCAGCCGGCAGCTCGATGCTGCATAAGCTCCCCGGGGTCATCCTCGGCTTTCGGGTTCTGACAGCGCGGCTGCCAGCTTTTTGTCCAAGTACCCTAGGTGCTTGGGCTGAAAAGGGCTCAAAGTCTCTGTTGCCCCAAGGACCTGGGACTAAAAGGTTAACCTTTTGGGGCCATGACTAAATATGGACCAAAACAGGAGAACCAAAAGGTCAAAAGGTTGGCTTTGGGCAACTGAGAAGTACTTCCTCTGCTTGGATCCGAGCCTTGGGATGGAGTTGGAGTGTTGGCTTCAGTTTTGCTTGGACCCTCCTTTGGATGAGCAAGCCCAAAAGCCCAGGCAGCGAAGATATGCAACATAGTGTGAATAAAGACACTGGAACGACTCACAAAACACACACACCCCAAAAAAAAACTGAGGCACTGATCATCTCCGTCAAAAGCACAACGAACCAAACAAACACATGGCAAAAGCCTTAGGTGCTGTAGATTCCGCTGCAGAAAGTTTAACTTTTTGGAGGTAAAAAGGACATATGATGGGTATCCCAAAAGTTAAAGTCTAAAGATCCAACCCAATAGCAGTGAAGAAGCCGGACAGTTTGTGATTCGAACCGGACCTCTCCACCAGACACAGCGAATTGCACCTGAGAGGGATTGAGAGGGCCTGAATGGCCATTTCGGATGTCTCGGGCGGGGCGGAAGGGCCAGAAACTCGTGGCTGTTCTTTCTGAGATAACAAGCGCTTGTAGCTCCCTTGGCTTGTACCATAGTCGACCAGGAGAAACCATCGCCATGTAGCACCTAAAGGGAACAACTCTCATTGCGGCAACTGGAAACACTGCGCCGCATCCACTTCCACGGGCCGACCTTGTCGGCTGGCCAACTTTTCACCCTGCCGTGGGAAGAAACGGGCACCCCGGTTTGGCAGTTGTGAATGGATGCCCCTTGACACCCCGTGTTTGGTAGCTTAATTGAAAGGGGCCAACAGAAAACCTACGGTTCAAATATTCACTACCATCATTCTGTTCAAGGGTACATATGTAAGGTTCTTCAAGGTGGAAGCTTGGCACACAGAAAAACATTTGTTCAGATTCTGCTTCATACACAGTCTATCATAAAAGAAAGATAGGCGCGCCTTTTTTGAGGGACCCACCAACATGGTGTTTGTTCTTTTGGTTTCCCTTCCAAACCACCCAACAAGTACAGTACCCTCAATAAAAGACACACCCAAATAGCTGTGTCTATTTTAGGGGGCCCACGAAAATGGAAGTTTTCCTTTTGGCTTCCCTTTCACACTAAAAACTGACCGACCTAAATGGCCATGGGCCAAAATCCCGTACGCCCAGTGAACATCCCAACTAAGGAGGGACTGCAGCCAGCCCGCTCCGGCACCAGAATCCGATGTCGCTGGGTCCGCTGGAAGGCCACGAGGCTGGCCAGATATGCCGCCTGAGGAAAAACTCGCGCCAGGTGTGGTTGGTTCACGAGGTACCTGGAGTCTCCTTTTTGGATAATGACCCCATGTGTTTACACGATTTTAGATAATGACCCCATTTTTTGAGGGTCATGGAGACTCCAGGTGCCTCCAAATTGGTGACTTCTCTTTGATTTCTCTCTACAAAACCTGTTACTGAAATAGTCTTCCCAAAAGACTAGTCCAGGATCTCAGGGAGTGAGTTGCTTGTTGACCCTGGCAGCAGTGGGACCCTGTTTTTCCGGCCCCAGACCAGTTCCCTGAGATCCATTTTAGCTCTTGGTTCGCGGGCCCAAAACAGGCTTGGGGTCGAAAATGCGCGCTCGCAACACGAAGCCATGTCTTGTTGGCGCTGGGGGATGAATTCAGGTTTCTCGCCTTGTGGCGTCCATCCTGTTTTTTGGATGCAACATGGGGAAAAGGGTGCATCCATGCAGTACTTTTGTGCAGCGATTAATCAATGGGGAGTTAATACACAAGACAAAATCCGACAATCATCCCTCACCTAAAAAGCAATAAGGGCAGGACATACGCAAGGATGGGGCCACCAATAACGGAATGTTTTCCAGGTGAATAAGATATAGTTTGTGGGGCTGGCAATGTCCAAGCTTGTTTACTAAAACTGCCACCCAACCAAATGTTCAAGGGGCTGTATAGGGAACACCCAGGAAGATAATAATAGGGTCTAATAAGGTTTCCTTAAGAGTAGGGAATAGAGAAACGTGTTTTTTTATTCAGGGCCAGCGCTAAGGAATACTAAGCCAATACTGAACCGACTCTAAACAGTACTGAGCCAGTACACA